CACTCTACCACTGAGCTACAGCGCCAGTCCCATGTTATTTAACCTTTTTTAACCTTAGAAGGGGAGTTTTTTTATGAATCTGTTTCATTTAGATTTTTTGTTTGTCCTTATTTTTTCTTTTATTCCACTTATTAATACTTCTTCATTTTCTTCCCCTTCTAACAGCCAAGTGCTCTTGTTCCCTCTTCCTCTCTGTTTATTTTAAATTTTTTAATTCTTTTTTACTCCTCCGCCTTTACATTCATCACCTGTTACCTCTCTTCTGCTTCCCCCCTGTTCACTTTTTAAACATTTCAAACTTTCTCTTACCTTTCTACTAATTACATCTTCTCTTCACTTAAGGAACTGTAATTTTACTCCCTTTTAAAACTATTTAGTTTATATCATTCCTAGCCCCCACCATTCATGCTGTTGTAATTATAAGACAGTGGATATAGCTGACACCAGATACTTAATGACAGATCAAGTTCAGGGCTGTTTGTTATTGTTGCTGATGTTAAGTGCTGACCCCACCACTCCTCTTCCTGTGGCAGTCAGTACTATAGATGTTATGGTAGGCTGTATATCAGTTGCTACCGTTATTACTATTACTTTTTCCCCCTTTATCTAAGAGGAACTGGGAGGTGATTGGGACACAACTTCAATAGGAGAGAGAGATCCTATTGCTGAACTACACTCACAACTCAGCCAAGTGACAGCAAAGCTCACTCCACACATGAACTAACCTCACTCAAGCTCCAACTAACTTCAATACATATAATAGGGGAGAGAAAGTTCACAAACCAACAACCAGGTCTCAAGTAGGAAGAGCTAGAGGGGGCCTGAACATCTGCTCACACAGCAAAAACAGAGAAGTCTCAAGATGAGGAACCCACAGTATTGCAGCAACTCTCTAAGGATGAATTAAATAGTAGTTCTATAGCAGCAAACTGACCAGAATTGGAGGCTGAAATTAACACTTTTATTATGCTGAAACCTTTGTGGTGAAGTTAAAGATACCAATAACATAGAATTTAGTCAAAAAAAGATTACACACCAAAAACCAACACATAAAAGAGGAAGAGAGATTCATTTCAAAAAATATATAAGACCTCTGAAAACATGAGGCAACAGGCAAATAAGTCTCATTCCAAAACTGACAATCCCCTAACAAAGGAACCCAAACATATGAAAATAGATGGAATTCCAGAGAAAGTCTATTAAAAACCGAGTATTATAATGTTCAATGAATTAAAAGATCTAAGGAACAAAATAAGAGAGCAAATACAGTAGGTGAAATGCCATTTTAATAAAAAAATAGAGATGCTGAATGTAAACCAATCAGAACTCCTGGGAATGAAAGACACAATGAATCAATTTAAAATGTCACATGAAAGTATCACCAACAGATTAGATTACATAGAAAACAGAACCTCAGGCTTTTAAGACAGAGTATATAAACTTGAAAACTCAGTATGTAATAAAGAGGGAAAAATGAAAAAGCATGATCAAAATATGCAGGAACTCTGGGTCAACATCAGAGGGCCAAATCTGAGGGTCACTAGAGAGCATGGAGATGCATACTCAGTTCTAAAAAAAAAAAAAAAAGCTCAGTTCTAATTTCTTAACTCAGACCCAAAAATCAAGGAGAGCTTGGAGAGGAAACAATTGCCAACCAATATTGTTATATCCAGAAAAGCTACCTTTCAGAATAAAGGAGGAATTAAAATGGAAAAAATAAAAACCAACACTTCTGACCACAAAACTAGTGCTGTAAAAAACAACATATATAAATACTATATATGTACTTTATACAAAAAATACACATATGTATATGTATAAATGTATATACAAATATATATAAATGTATATATAGGTGTATTTATATATTTATGTATGTATATGTCACACACACACATACACACACACACACACACAGAGAAGAACTCAAAAACAAACCCCACAGCTCCCAAAAGGATGAAGTTTTCTAGAAAAGCAATTAATTATATGAAAATTAAGACTGAATTAAATATAGTAAGCAATCAAAAATGTCAGGAAATAACAGATATCTGTTCATAATAACATTGAATGTAAATGGTCCCAACTCTCCAATCAAAAGTCATAGATTGGTAGAATGAATTAAAAACTAGATCCAACTGTATTCTGTTTACAAGAGACTCAGTTCATAGACAAAGACATCCACAGGTTGAAAGTAAAAGAATAAAAAAATATTTCACTCAAATGGAGTCCAGAAACAAGCAGGAGTATGTATTCTCCTATATGACAAAGCAGATTTCAAGCAAAAATTAATCAGACAAGACAAAAAAGGTCCCTATATACTGTTGAAGGGAAGTCTCAAGATGAGGAACCCATAGTATTGCAGCAACTCTCTAAGGATGAATTAAATAGCAGTTCTACAGCAGCAAACTGAGCAGAATTGGAGGCTGAAATTAACACTTTGATTATGCTGAGCCTTTGTGGTGAAGCTAAAGATAGATAAGACAACAGTAAACATTTATGTTCCAAATGTCAGCATATCTAATCACAAAA